GTACAGCCAGTGACTGGTACTCAGGTCTACAATCACCAAAGGAAATGGCGCACTAAATGTGCTAAGGTTTGCAGGTTGAAAGAACTCAATGGCACCAATTGGGATGAGGATCTCTGCATGATCACCCTGGACCTAGAACATTATCATGGACATGTGAAGGTAACATCACTAACCAATGGTTATTTTGTAACCTGAATTTGGTACTTGTGCTTATTCTGATCATGTGCTAACTGTATTTGGTACTTGTGCAGGATCACAACAAGGATGCCGAGTACCTGAATGTTCCAATTGTCAACTACCAGTACATGCAGACCATCTTCGGGTGTGGTGTAGCTACTAGTCGGTTTGCAATGGGCTCAGGTGAACTTCTGGGACAGCCATCTGAACAGGAAGCCATCGACGTGGACAACGATGCACCTCCTCCAACCAAGGATGATGTACCCAAGGACAAGAAGGATGACAAGAAGAGGAAGAGGGTGATGGCTGAAGAAGATGTTGCTGTGTTCATCGGGGTGACTGATGCTATCTTGGGGCTCAATGCTGCCATCATTGAGGGGAATCATGCGGAGGCTGCTCTAGGGATATATGAAGCAGTCATGGGGTGCCCAAACTTCGCCAAAAGTGACTTGATGGCGTGCCTGAACTACGTGATGGAGCATAAGGCCCCTGCAATGGTCTTCGTGGAGATGTTGCCGTCTGACAAGGAGCTATGGATCAACACCCATCTGGCTAAGCTCAGAGGCCAGATGGCGTTCCAGTGAAGTAGAGATGTGAGATGAAGAAAAGCCATCTTGCAGTGCTTCTAATGTGGCAGCTTAACCCTTTTTTATGTGTAACATTGGATGTAATGTTTGAACCATATGCTGTTATTTAGGGTAGATTATGGTAGGAGTGAACTATTTAGTTACCTACCACAATTGGTTGTTGCATTATGCATTGATGAACTAAATGTGGCTTTATCATTCATCTATGACAGTTGAGATTATCCTATGCAGTTACTGTTTTATGTATGTTTGCCTGAAATGCATGATCTGAGATTTCTGTGTTTTTAAGCTATGATTGTACTGATTGTAACTTGAAATATGCAGTTTGGATCATGAAGGTGTATGTGGTTTTCAAGGGGCGTACTCCAGGGGTGTACACAACTTGGATGGACTGTCATGCCCAAGTTTCGAGTTATCCAAGCAACCTCCATGCTAGTTTTTCGTCAAGAAAGGAGGGTGAAGAAGCATATGCACAATACCAGGCCTCGATGAAAAGGAAAATTCCAGAAGTGAAGCAGGAAGGTGAAGAAGACGTTGCCCAAGTTCACAACCAGAAACTCCAAAGCATGACTGCTAAGGATGTTATCCTTGTATTTCTGTTTCTGGTGGTAGTGATCCAGGCCTACCTGCTGTACAAATGCCTAAGCTACAAACTTGTAGTCTGATTTAATCAGTTAATAAGAAGCACATTGTTTGGTTGAACTAGAACACATTGCAATGTGAACCATGATCATGTAAACCAAGTTCGAGATGACTGATTTCAAGTACTAAGCATTTGAGTTGCACAGGGGCGGATGTACAGTATTGCGTCGGGGTCCGCCGACCCCGATGACTTCCGTAGAACCTGTGATACCCCATGTAATCTCACCGTGGAGGACCCCAGTAAAATCAGACATCGACCCCGGCAACTATGCAGCCCAGTCTAAAGAGCAAAGGGCAGCAGGCCGCAAAGCCCACTTCGTGGATGAATATTGAATAAACAAGACAAGCAGGCTAACAGCTAACTAGCTAAGAATAACTAGCTAAGAAGCCCAGAAATCACGTACTGATTGCTTGCAGTCGATCCCTCTTCCTATACACACACCAGCCTGACTCTTGGTATTTCCGATCTAGCAATTCAACTCATCGTCTTCTCCATTTGCGATCGCCCCCGCTGCCCGGCTCGCTGCATCCAACATCTTGCCGTTGCCGCCTTGCCGCCGGTGACTGGCCGCCGGCCGCCGGCGTGACGTATTGATGTCAGGTGAGGAGATTACTTATATATAATCATATACGCACGGTTGCTTACTTTTAATTGTGTTCACTCACCAATTTGACAGTCAACCAAAGCACAATGGAACGATTCTTGAAAAGAAAAAATCCTCCTACTGATGGTCAGAATCCTGATGGAGGTGCTTCAAGAGGAGATGGCGATGAGAACCCTGATGCAGGCACTTCAAGAAGAGATGGAAGGGTAGTTGCAACAAACACCAATCATACTAGTCTTCGTTCTTCGCGAGTCTCACGAAGGGAGGTAAATTTTGATGAGCTTCCGTATGATCCGGCGGATAGAAGGAGAATTTCAGATTACATAGGACAAAGTCTACAAGATGAGATAAGACGCAAGTATTTGATCAGAGGTCCTTTTAGACCACCACCTGGTTTTAGGTATCCAGAAAAGATTATAGCAGATCATCCACGTCGATTTCACCATGAATAGTTCACACAGTGAAAAGGTGGATAAATGTTTTTGTTTATACTGCTACTTATTTAGAGATTCTAATGAGGGCCAAGGTGGGAATGATGCATTTGTGAAAAATGGTTGGGATGGCTTTAACAAAAAGGACAGGCTTCGAGATCATGTAGGCACCCGACCTAATAGTTTTCATAACACAGCAGTTAAAAGATGCAACAATTTGATGAAGCCTGATCAATCCATTGCTAATGCTATCAACAAGCAGAGAGATGTCACTAAAGAAGAGTATCTTGCTAGATTGAATACTTCTATTGATGCTACTCGATTCCTGTTGCATCAAGGTTTAGCTTTTCGTGGTCATGATGAGTCAGAGAAGTCCAAAAATAAAGGAAATTTTCAAGAATTGGTACAGCTTTTGGCAAAGCAAAATGAGAAAACAAAAAAGATTATTCTAAGGAATGCTCAAATGGTGTCTCCAGCCATACAGAAGGATATTGCAAACTGTTTTGCTGAGGTAATAATTTTTTTATGGTTTTGAGTTACAATAAAAATACTTATATAGGTGAGTTAACTGTGTGTTTTGTTTATCCAGATAATAGTAAAATCGATTGTTGAAGAAATCGGTGGCGATGTATTTTGCTTATTGGTAGATGAATCAGCTGATGTCTCAGGCAAGGAACAAATGGTAGTGGTTCTGAGATATGTCGACAAGCTTGGGTTAATAAAAGAGAGACTTATTGGTGTTGTTCATGTGAGTGAGACCTTAGCTTCATGTCTTAAATCTAATATTGATAATCTATTCGCTAAGTATGGATTGAGCATGACACAAGTTAGAGGCCAAGGCTACGATGGAGCAAGCAACATGAGAGGTGAGTTTCATGGATTAAGAGCTTTAATCATGAGGGAAAATAGCTCTGCATATTATATCCACTGTTTTGCTCATCAGTTACAGTTAGTCATTGTCGCAGTAGCCAAAAAGAATGATGATATAAGTGTTTTTTTTGACATGGTATCTCTACTGATTAATGTTGCTAGAGCCTCTTGCAAAAGAAAGGATATGATTAGAGAAAGTCAACAGGAGAGAGTCAGTAAAGCAATATGCAGTGGACAACTCACAAGTGGAATTGGATTAAATCAAGAACAATCACTTCAAAGAGCCGGTGATACTCGTTGGTCCTCTCATTATAAAACCCTTCTGAGGATAAGTAGTTTATTCCCTGATGTCATTGAAGTGCTCAAATATGTTGAAAAAGAAGGTCCAACTGATGCAAAGAGACGCCAAGCCCGTGGCCTCTTGGACTATATGAAGGATTTTGATTTTGTGTTCAGCTTGAAACTAATGTTGCTTATTCTGGGACATGCAAATTCATTGTCACTATCACTACAGAGGAAAGATAAAGACATCTTAGAGGCCATGACAGAGGTGAAAATAACAAAACAAAAATTTCAGCAACTAAGGGATGATGGTTGGGATTCTTTATTAGAGGATGTAATGTCCTTTTGTGAAGCTCACGACATCCCAAAGTTGGATATGGAACAAGAGTACATTGACCGACACAAACCAAGGCAAAGGACCGGCCGCACAAACTATCAACACTACAAGTATGATTGCTTGAACCCAATTATTGATTTGCAGCTTACAGAATTTAATGATCGTTTCAATGAGGTAAATTCTGAATTGCTTACCAATGTTGCTGCTTTCAATCCCAAGAATTCTTTTGATGCTTTCAAATCTGAGAGTTTGCTGGAGTTGGCAAAGACATATCCTAGTGATTTTGATTCAAATCAGCTAGACGATCTTAGTCTTGAGCTTAATATTTACATTGATAATGTGCGAGCCGATCCAGGATTTGCCCAACTGAATACTATTTCTGAACTTGGTAGTCTGATGGTCGGTACAAAAAAACATATTGCTTTTCCTTTGGTATATCGACTCCTCAAACTTGTGTTAGTTCTTCCTATTGCCACAGCATTAATGGAAAGATGTTTTCCTGTGGTGAAAATTGTGAAGACGGATCTACGAAACTGTATTGGGGATGAATTTATGAATGACTGTCGTTTGCTTCGTGGAACAAGAATTTCTTCATGCAATTTCAAATGATGATGTCATAGTTTGATTTCAGAATATGGATGATCGTACCCGTAGAGTGAAATTATAAGAGATAACCACTTATGTAAAATTTTTTTTTATGTTTTATTATAACATTGCTAATTTCGCTCCTCAATATGCCTACGTTTTGTATGTATCCTAGTGTTAAGAGTACTATAAAATTCTATCATGAGTCTTGTGCCGACCCCGACCCCATTTTTTTCTAGATCCGCCACTGGTTGCAACCATTCATTACACAGTACTGACATAGTTACAGAAGAGGTGCACCAATCCTTATGAATTGGGCACAAGCAAAGGATGCCAACTGTTGGCATTCATCAGTGCTATCCTAAGCACAATTAAGTCACACCCTACGCTATACAACCTTCGGTGCACCATTCAGTTGCCACAGTTCGAAATGGGCACATTCAAAAGATCAGGTACCACCCATCAGCACTTAACCAAGTTCATCCTAACCATACCACTTGACTACTGCAACTAACCGACAACTCCTGAAACCAACTACTCGAAGCACTACTGATACTAACAGAAACTTGGTCATATGAACAAAAGACCACAGAAACTTGGCCTTGAAAACGATAGCAATCACCAGGAAGACGATCACTCCAAGCAGGCAGTAGATGAGGTATATCATCTTGCTCCTATCGATTACAGCGACGGCGGCCTTCCTCTCGTAGGTACCACAGATGCGCTGAGCCACATGTTTGGTGCAATTCACTTCCTCCTTCAAAGCAACTCTAGCCAAGGTTGCAGTGGCACTGGTCTCCAGGGCATCGTGCAAAGCTTGATTTGCCCTTGCTTCACACCGCCTAGTGACCTTCAGCTCCTTCCACAGCTCTTTCAGGCTCTCCTGCACCCGTTCTGGCCATGGTTCATCCAACCACTCCACGAACTGGCACTGATCAGCCTCCTCCTGAGTCAAGCATAGCAAAATGTTATTAGGAGACGGAGAACAGTAATCTGACTACTGTAAGTTCAAAGGGACAAATGTTTTTCATACCTTCAGTGGGCAAGCCAAGAAGCGCCTGCCAGTGTTCTTCCCCCAGCATTTCTTGTGTAATCTGACTACACTTCTTAATCCTCACAATATGCATACCACTCCAGTCATGCTCGTACACAGCATCAGGGATTGAACTGTCACTATTGCCCTATTAACAAAAGGGGAAAAAACTGAAATTTGTCACCACTATGACAGCAATCCGCAATCAAGGAACAAAACTACACTACATTACACAAGAACTATCCCATCTCATCGATCTTGAACAGAAAAAAGGGATTTGGGGGGTTTAACAGAAACCCTAGGGGGTCGAATCGGAAGGGGTGTACCTGGGATTCTGATGCCTGTTGGGTGCCGGTGTTGAAGGAGTAGTTGCCGGAGTCACTGTCGCCGGACTGCTGCGAACGGCTCCTCGACGGCGACCCAGCGGGCGTAGAGCGCGCCGGAGACAGAGACCGCGAGCCACAGGTGCACCCGGACGCACCCCTGCACCGGCGAGGACAAAGGCGCTCCGCACCGGACTCCTCGGGGAGGGCTGGATAGGCCATCGGAGCGGCTGGAGGACAAGCGCGAGAAGACGGCGACGGGCGCGAGGACGGGGGCAGAGGAAGCAGAGAGGCCGACGGCGAGAAGAATGAGGGGTGAGCCACCGGTGAAGAACTCGAAGGGTCAAGCTGCTCCGTTTATGGGCATGTGTGGCATGGCTCCAACTCCAGATAAAGCAGCTCCACTCTAGAAATTCAAGTGGAGCTAGCTTTGAGTGGAGTTGGAGTTATGTTTTTAGTGTGTTTGGCTAGAAAGAGAGTCTCAGCTCCAGAACCATGTTCAATCGTGTAGAATGCCCACTTTGCCCTCTGAGTAAGACCCACATGTCATCCTCTCTTGTTGGTTGCTACAGAGGAACTCACCATTGTCTACGAGGAAGAGGGCGCGCCGTGGCAGAGAGCTCCGTCCGTCGGAGTAGGAGAGGGAGCCGCGGCAGAGAGCTCTGTCCGCCGGAGCAGGAGAGGGAGCCGCGGCGGCGCCACCCGGCGAGGTGGGCTCAGCGGGGGAGGTCCGGTAGCCACAGGCGGGGTGAGGGGGCTGTGGCAGCGGACGGGGTTGCCTAGTCGCGAGGAAGCCGCGCGTACGCTTGCTGGGGACGGCGGGGGGCTTCACGTCGCCCTCTTCTCCTTCTTCTCCGGTAGAGATGGAGGCGTCCTTCTTCCCCTTCTCCTCTAGGGTTAGGGTTGGGGATGGAGGAGACCTTCTTCTCTTCTCCACTAGGGAAAAGGTGGGGGATGGAGTAGAGGGGGAAGAGAGGCGGGGGAGGGGAGGGGCGCCGGCCGGCGATGGCGTCGCTGGGCCGTGGCCGGCGGAGGGCGCAGTCGCCCAGCGCGCGTCGCCCGGTCACGCGGATTCGCGGAGAGAGAGAGGGAGGGAGGGGGAGTCGTCCGCACACGGGTGTGGGAGGCAGAGCGAATAGAAAGAAAAACGGTTCGAGTTGTGTAATCAGTGGCAATTGCGGGTAATTTCACCCCAACTCCACGTCTAGATCTATTTTGGCTAGTTCTAGAGTAGGAGAAGAGGTGCTCCGAAACTCCACCTCCATTTGCACTACAGCTCTATGGAGTTGGCAGCTCTATGGAGTTTTGGAGCTGGGGTGTTTGGCTGAAAAATTGGTTGAAGTTGCTGGAGTTCAGCTCCAGAGCCATGCCAAACAGGGCTTATATATGGTGGCGTACGGTGGGGAGGGGTAAGGCTACCGATTGAAAGAAGTGGTGAACGCAGCCTACAGTTTACAGCCCTCCAAACACATCCCAGGTTGACCCAAGTTGTGCAGCCAGTAATTTATTCACCCAACCAAACGAAAACTCAGAAAAACCAGGCCAGTGATACCGACCAACCAAACAACCGCATATTGGCTTCTTTCAACCGGGGCTGGACTAGCCTGGCTACAATCCTAGCCAGGTCAAGACTTAACCAGGAAACCAAACAGGCCCATAGAGCCAACAAGCCAACTAGCCGTAGAGCAAAAGGTCTTAGTTCTGCCCATGCACCGAACATGTCCGGTGCGCATGGGATTGCAACACCGGATGCCCCAACGACTATTTTCCAATGGCTCCCAAACTAGCCATTAGCTACTGTCAGGCGTCCGATGACCCTGTCTGGTGCACACTGGACAGGTCCATGAGTATGGCGCCCAAACACCCCCACATTATAAGCTCTCTGGTCGAATAGTGTGGTGTGGCAGTCCGATGCCGCACCTGACACGCCCGATGATCGGATTTGAAAATCCCACGCACAGAGTGGCTGCAACGGACTCCTCCGATGGGTGCACGTCTGGTTTAAACATTATTTGGTCATACATACCTCAAATACTACAAAAGCATGTCATACAGATGCAAACTCTTGAAAGATTAAGTTTTTTCTCGCTCCTAATTCCCATCGTGGGGTTAGAAGGGGAACTAGGGACCTTGCTACGCGTTCTAGTTGCTGGACTACCCAAGGCATCACAATTTTTATTCTCATTGCAACTCTTCTTCGCAATTGTCTTTTTTTTTTGAATGGCCTTCTTCTTGTACTCCTGCTCACTTATGCTCTTTTCAGCTATGTGCTGCTCACTTGGTCTACATAATCGACAAAGGAGATATTTCTTCCATTTGAACTTCAAATGAGATAATCCAAATATATTTTTTGATCATCTCGACAAGAACATATTGGTGGAGTTCATTATGCACTTTAGCTATTTTTGTTGTCAACATAAAGGTCTTGATATATGGTGGGTAGAAATTTTCAAATGAGAGATATTTTTAATTCATTCGCTCTTTTATAGTATAGATATATCATAATATATTTCTATATTAAAATATGACAAATAATGCCTATATATCTAACACTAAGGTCCACTGTAAACTGGTACCATAACTCCCAGAAAAAAATGACAAAAATAATTCTGGTAAACAGAGTAGTTTTCATTGATAAATGAAACTTAATGGAATGTTGCAACAGTTAAAATGAGCTTTGTTGTAAAATGTGGTGGTCTTACGAAATTATCATCAGACTTGCAGCCATGCCCATGTGACATGACACCCAATTTGGCACCTCTAACCTCAAGGTATTTCACTCTAGTCTTAAGGAAAATTCGATGTTAGCTTCCCTGCAATACTCTCCGATTTACGCGCACCTGAAGTAATATAATAAAAAAACATGTGACCTCCTTAATCAAGAGAGGAAGGAAATGGAATGCTAATTGCAGTCTTTGTAACAAACCAGAAACTGTGAACATCATCATCTTTGGTTGTCCTTTAGCACAATATGTTTGGAGCTGTCTTCGGGATGCTCTAGGGTGGGAAGGGTTCCCAACTTCTGTTAAAGATCTGACTTCTAATTGGATTACAAAGGGCTTTCGGACCTCTCAGAGCTTGGGCATGTTCTTTTTTGCAGGGCTGGCCTGGGCCATTTGGCGCAATCGGAACAAAATGGCTATTAAGAAATCTTTCCCAGCTAACCCAAACATAGTGATTTATGCTGGTACAAATTTTCTGCATACTTGGGAGGACCTCCTCAAGGAGGACAGAGTCTAAGACTGGATGCACAGGAAGAGAACGCCCAGCGAGCTACTCTCGGTTGTTGTGGTTCTGTAGACGTAGCTTAGTCTGGAAGTTTTTTTTTTCTTCTTTTGATAAACTTGTCTCTTTGTTAGGAAGAGTTCGCGAGCTGCTCTCGGTTGATGTGTTTCTGTAGGCTTAACTAGGGCTTGTGTGGGGTGCTTCTTTTGTTAAACTTGTTTCTTTGTTGAGAACTGGCAGCCCCAGTTTGTAAACTCTGTTAATTAGTTTCCTAAAAGCAGAGGTAATCTCATTTAAAAAACAAAGGGTCCAGCTACGTTGTCTTATAGGAAAACGTAGCACAGATCATCACAGACAATGGACACCGACCTCGAATCTATGCTCGGCAATCACCTGCGCTGATCTGCCTTGCAACCTAGCATTTGAGGCATCGGAGGAAGAACTCAGCAAGCAAATATAGCTTCTTCCAGCTTCTTTTTCCTCTAGCATGTCGCGTCTTGGAGGAACCCGGGAGGAATTGATGCTGGAAAACGCATCTTTGCGACAGATTTGTACTGAGGAAATGTGAGGAAGAGGACATACATAGAATTTGCAAGGATTCTTGTTAACCCAATAAATTTGGGGAGCACAGCAGTTACCTTGTGCGGACCGTACTTTTCTCAGATTGAAGGAAGGTTATTTGAAGGATCATCCCTGAAAAGGTGGCACAGCGCATTTACACACTTGCCCAATTCTGACGCTTTGTAGCTTGTGTAGTTAGCAAGGGTGGGATTCTGCTTCCAAATTGCAATGAGAATTATATGTTAACCCCATTCAGGTATTGATTTAGCCATGCGTTAGTATTCTTAGCGGGTCATAGACAATTAAACCTGATAAAAGCATATCCAGTCTTCCACCGAGTAAATATTTTTTAATCATTATTTATCCCTCCGCTGGACTCACTAGATGAGATAGGTACAATCAACTTCCTTTCAAATTAATTCATATCCCACGATGTCTGCATCGTTCTCATCTAGTTCATCATCACTGCAGCTCGGCAGGGAGGCAGGGCGCGCCACCGTCGGTGACCAGCCTACGGCGCTACATGGAGCGGAACCAGGGTGAGTGGGTGACCGCAGGCTTTGCTGCATGCGTCTCTCTCTCCTCTCCGCTGAGCGACGCCGTGATCCAGATCGAGGCATGGCGGCTGCACCGCGGCAGCAAGATCCTAGCGGTAGTGGGACACCATGGCGTTCTCCCCCGAGAAGAGCTGTGCCACCGCTTTCTCTTGATGAGTGCGGCAGAGCGCCTGGCGCACTCCCCAACATGCGCACGGTGGCCCTTGGTCCCGTGGCTGGAGACGACGATAGTCTTTCCATCGATGCCGAGCAGGAACTACTCTACGTGCCTTCTCAAGCTGACAACAGGGGAGAAGATTCAAGAACACATGCAGCCATGCGCAAATCTGCATGAAGGAGAACCTGCAGAAAGCTGTTAGTTGTTTTTGATCCATGTTATTTTCAGAAAATAGTATCTCTGCATACTTTTTTCATATAAGTGTATCGTTGGATACTTCTATCACGGATTAGAGTATCACATGATAGTTTCTTTGATTAGAATAGTGTTTTTCATATAAGTGTATGGTTGGATACTTTCGTTGGTAAATACTCCTTCCCAAGCTGCGAACCTTTACCCACCAGTTCAATAGCAGATGGAGCGTGAGACAGGAGCAATGGTGCCTGCAATTCCATGATTTTTTTAGATGAGAGTATCATCTGATACTTTTTAGACCAGATGAGTATATTTGGATACTTTTTTCAGATTAGATCCCATAAGCATGTACGTATTCATACTCCATAAAAATAATTATGTACTCATACTCCTCATAAAAAAATGTATGTACTCATACTATCATTACACGTGTGCGCTCATACTCCTTTGGTAGGTATACGTATATATACTCGCTCCGTCCAAGAAAGAATGCAATTCTATGTTTTAGTATCTCGAGTTTGACCAAT